GGGCGGGGGAGGGTAGGAGGGGGTGGAGCCGCCGAAGCCCCTGAGGTCACGTCGGTACCGGGCAGGCCGGCCAGCCGTTCACCGTGATTGGCAGGCCTGGGGCCCGCTCTTTGCGCGGGGTTGGGCCTGCCGAGGCTGTAGGGCAGCGGCAGGGTGGGGGCTTTCGGCGCTGCCGCCTCCGGGGCTCGGAGGAGCCGGGCTCCGCCTCCCCCCGCGGAGCTGCCAGCGCCAGCCGTTGTGCTGGTGGCGGGAGGCCGTGCTGCTGTTTCAGCTGCTGTTCAAGGGCTCGCAGCGCAACTACGCCGCTAAAGGCGCGCCCGCGGAGCCTTCCCGCGCGGATCACCACTGAGGGAGGCAGCGGTTGGCTAAGATTCAGGTCATGGAGGGGAACAAACGGAAAAATGCCCCCAAACCAACAGCGGCTTCAGTAGAGCAGGGATTTTTTTGTGTGCTATTACAGTTTTGTCTAAAGTCTGACCCAAACCATCATTTCAGTCAGCAGGTGGGTATGGCTGTTGCTTTTAGAAAGAGCGAGTGTAGTTAACCCGAGTGGATTAACTCTTTTAAAAACATACAAGCCCCAAACAGCTAACTAAAAACTTAACATATAGAGGCAGTAGTCCCGAGAGGGAGATGGTAGATGTACTGTCAGGTTTCAGATCGCTCTGCAGTCGCATAGTGAACTGAAGATTATTGCTGTGTAAAGCTGCTCAGAATTTTTATCAGGGTATGTGGCGATCAACATGGAAGTTTGAACTGGTAGTCGCCCATAAATCCATATAGTTTGGGGGCTGCTAGAAAAGAGCAGTTCCTGTTGTGCTGTGTACTATTCCATTTATAAACAAGAGAATACTGCACCTGAGGGTAGACAGCAATTAGAGATTATTTAAATGTTCTGCGTGTTGTACTCCCTCTTGCAGATGTGTTACGTGTTTTTAAACTTAGTGATGAATTAATGGTTACCTGTTTTGCCATGCACTGAGTAGGATGTATGAGCTGGGATGTACCTTGTATGTACCAGTTATGTGTTGGTACACAGTATTGTGATCTGGCAGCTTTTTTTAGTATTATCTAGGATTTTAAGTAAATGTGACTAGTTTTCACGCACCCAGCATATCGTGAATGCTTTCTGCTAAATGCTTGCAGTTGTTTTAAATGGGGACGTGATCACCTCATTGGAAAATTACTGTTCTTTCAGAGCAAGGCTGCGTAGTTAGTAGTCACTGTGCAGGATCTGACTTAGGGTGTTTTTGTCTTGCCCCGGAAGATTTTTTTGAATACTTCCTTTGTGGCTGCACGTGTCGAAGTGCTTGGCAAAGTAACATTGTGGTCGTGAAACTCAGGTTTTCCCGGTGGTGGCACCTAGATTGCTGCCTCAGAGCTACCAAAGACTACACGGAAGGTTTACAGCAGGGGGCCGTTTCGATTTATAAAAGTATTTTTCTATTGTGTTGTGGCAGAAGAGTGTGATTTACCTGTGACAGCTGCTTAAAAATGCTAAGTGGCTAAGATCTAAACCAGGAAAAGCCATTTCATACTAGATTTCCATTAGCTTTGTGAAAAAGCAGTTATTTTATGGATAATTATTTCCCCCGCTTCCACCTGCCCTGTAATTCCCAAACCACATGTGCTGAACTGTTTAGAAACTAACTGGCTAGAGAGGAGGCATTTAAACAAGATTGGCAGGGGGAAGGGGAAGAATAAGGAGAAATGGCTGCAAAACTGGCATCCGTTGTTGGATTATGTGGGGAACTGAGGGTATCAGTGTAACACCATTCTAGGTGGGTTTTTTTTTTAATTAAAATCCAGTGGGGCATTATTTAAATTGAAATGTGCACAGGGATTGAAAAATCATCCTTTTCTCTAGAGCTGGTACTTATTAAATTCAAGGCCAGGCTCAAGGTCATTGAAATATTGTTAACCTTGAGAGCAGTGGGGATTGGGGTCGTTTGTTTTTTTTATGTTCCTATCACCTGTGACAAATCATTCTATTTCTAGTAATATGCAAATAGTAGCTTTTCATTAGAAAGTGGCATTTTACTCATTTCTTGGTAGATCGTAAGTCTCATTTCACCATTTGTCCCCATTGCCTTTGGTTTTGCTCTGCCTGGCAGCAGAACAGTTTAAAATGTTTGTAAAAAAAATAATATTTCTTGGGTAATGTTTGTGTTTTATGTTGTTCAGAATTACCAAAGTGCTTTTTAATTTCCTGATTACAGAATTTTATACTTTACACAGTTTGGGGGGTTTTGTTTGTTG